GGCTCCCGAAGCGCACGTGCACGCCCGGGACCCAGCTGACGCCATGACTAGCCATGCGAGGCCTGATGTGGACGTCGGGACGCGCAAAAGTCCCCTACCTGGAGCGCCAACTGGCGGTGTTTCGAACCACCGGCTACTAAATTTGTATCTGCGCGTCTGGCTCGAATGGTGTACTCGAAGGACACAAGGATTTATACTGGTTCAGACGGAATGTTCCTACGTCCAGTCTGCTACTGCTCGTGTTATCGGCACTAGTTTGAAGTAGGGGTTACAAACAAGCGAGAGAGGGAGAAGGTCCCAAGTCTCTGGTGAAAAGATCGAACGGAGTTGAGTCTTGTTGATCTTGTTTAGCCATGTGCTCGTGCCTCTCATGAGGCGTCCTCCTTCCCCTTTTATAGGTGAAGGGGAAGGCGCAGGTTACAGAGAGAGAAAGAGAGAAAAGGAGAAAAGCGAGGGTGAAGAAGGCCTTCAGGATCACGACGTCCTTCATCTCATTTATGCCACTCTCGCCGGTCTTGTAGATGATAACGGGGATGGCTCCACGTCACGGCCCTGTTCATCACTGGCACCATACGCAGGCGTCGTCAGCCGGTCGCGACGCTCCACTCCATTCCGGCGGGTGGTGTGGTCAACAGGTACTCCTGTCAGAAGCCATACGGAGATTAGGCAGCACAGCGCTGGCACACCCGACACTGTTGGCGACATGAGCCCCAAGGTATGGTGCATCGTGGCCATGGGTCACGTCGAGACGTGCCCGCTTTCATTCCGGTGTCAGAAGTTTGACCCTGGGGTCGTACTCTTAGACCCATAGTGGTTGGAGGCGGGATGGATCCCCGTCGGCGAGACGGAACCCGCGCCCGAGGGTTTTGGCGAGACGGAGCCCGCACCCGAGGGGTCTTGAGAGATGGGGCCGCGCCCTCGGGGTCGGGCGAGACCTTAAATACGTCTTGACCATCCGGACGAATTAACGTTCGTTGTTGTTAACTTTCTTACTCCGGGTGTCCCTAATATCGATACCTGACACTTGCTTGTGCATCATTGCTTAGACTCGATTTTTTTTTGAGATTGACTCGATAATCTATTTCTAACAAATCACATATAAGCTGGTGAGCACGCACACGTACTCACGGGCATATATATGAATATGATAGATGCATGCAAAATGGTGGATCTACGGATGGGATACGGCTTATCCTGAATTCAGCCCAGCCCATGAGCCTATGACCATGCATGTGTAAAGACATATTACTTCCCTTCCACTGTTCGGTTTCTCGCCGGCCCATCCCTAGTATAACGAGCGCATGTATCCGGCGCTATGAGTCCGAATCGAGTCGGCAGCCACCAGGCCACGTTGCTCCTGGGTGGGACTCGGAACGGATGCGATGCCGCAGGCGCGCACGCGCGCGCTCTATGCCGCTCGGCGCCGGACCTCTGGTGCAGACGCAGACGTATTGTGTGTTTGGTTCGAGCAACGAGGTGTTCATCTTCTCCTCACTCCTGACTTTTTTATTTGGTTTATAGAATGAAATAAGTTGATCCATCACCGCTTCATTCCTCACAGGCTAATAATTAGTATATGCATAAGAAATGAGTTGATTCCACCAAAATTCATATGATGAACTCACGATGCATCATCTCATGAAGCATGGAGTGACTCCACAAACTAAATACACCCGTAGTAGATGTAGACGAGGACAGTGATGGCACGGAGCGCATGGCAGCAGAAAAAAAAAACTCTATTTGGCGAAATGCATGAAGTAATGAACATGGAATTCATTCAAAAATCATTGTCTATTCTCAATTTAATTCAGTTCACACACATGAATTTATCATCAAAGTACATGCATGGCATCACACGAGGGACAGCTTGTTCGGGTTTTTTTTTAGCCGGAACAATATTTTTCTCTTACAACAATTAAGTAGAACAGTATTTTTCAGCCGGCTGAACGGCGATTGTGCGCAATTGCCACGACGGAGAATAGAACGCATCGGAGCTCGCAAGTTTGAAGCGGCGGAGTTGGTACTTTGGATCGTCAGACTCCAACAACCACGATAGGCACAACACCTTAATTTTTATGAAATCATTAAATGACAGGTACGTACGACACCGTCATCACTGTAAACACACTAAAAATAGAAAAAAACTCCTAGTGCAAAACCTTGCATTGAACCGGGCTCGAACACAAGTCACGAGTGCTCCACCGAGCAAACCTGACCATTGAGCCATCGGCTCGCTCGTCAGCAAAGTGGATCGGCTAACTGGTGAGAGATGAATTTTGACTAGATCTTTGCTGGATACATGCTGGGTTCAGACTTCAGACCGACTAGGCCCAAACGTGAACCAGTTGGCGAGCCAAGGAGGGGTTGGAGGGGGCTGCCCCTCTAACTTTGTTGTTTCTCCATTATACTTTTTTTTTGGTTATTTTTCCGTTATATACTCTTTAATGACCTAACTAATGTACTATGTGGTCAAATAGTAAATGGTCACCTATCGACATCTGTGATCTGTCCCCCTCTCTCCCTAAACCAAGTCCTGATTGACTTCACCACTAATTATATACTATCTAAATAGGTATTGTGTTAGTAAATGAATAGGGAGAATAAAGATGATCAATTTTGATTAGTAACTTCGAACACTCATCTAATATAAGATTCTACAAATCCCAGCAACCGGTGGAAGAGCATGCATCAGTAGTAAGAAGAAACGTACAAGCAACTTCGAATTCACTAATACTATATTACTATAATATTTCCCTTACCTGATCGAACAGAGCGACTACAGTACGTAAATTAAATATAAACTAGCTATCTGATGTACTACATTTGACTGTAAAAAAATATCTCAATTTGTAAATTTGTAAAGTAGTTTTGGAAAAAAAACTAAAATATAGTTGCCTTCGTTATTATTCAATATATACAGGCACACACATAATGGCCCCGTTCGCTGGTCTGAAACTTGGCTGAAACTGAGAAAACACTGTTCCAGATGAATCGTTGTGAGAGAAAAACACTGTTCCAGCTGAAAAAAACAAGCCGAACAAGCCGAATATGGGGTAAACCGAACAGAGCCAATATATACAGTGGCCATTGGTCAAAAAAACAGAGCGAAATATGTAGAGACGCTAGCACTTAGTTTCTGCACATGCATGTGAAGAATGAAACATTTGCTGACATTTTAATTAATTAGCAGAAAACATAGGGATGTTTGGCAGGTTTTTCGTGAACCCACAAATCTGTTATAATTTTACAGGTTATCCATATAATCGCAAAAATTAAGTTTACTTGTGGGTTCGTGGAAAACATATATATAAAATACCTGTGAAGAATTAAACATATGTAACCAGAATGTGAAGAACTAAACATATGTGCCATGTGCACATGTTAATTAACAACAACAAGGGTATAAATCGTTGATCTGTTTTATTATATGACTATACATATATCCATATAGTATGTGTTTAATTGTTTGGCATATCTGTGCAACCTTTGAGCTGAGAGCATATATAGACATGTATATATGTAGAAATCCCTTCCACATATAACTTAGTGTGTGCTGTTCTTTTAGTTTGTGAAGGTTGTTATTTTGTTCAGCAGGAGCTTGCATTTGGTTGGTTTTATTGCATTGTAAATGAAAGGACCCCCTTCTTATCCCGAATTATTAATTATATCACACAACCAGGAGAAGCTATACCGCAGTAGTGCACATGTTATATACCCTAGATTTAGCATTAGTTGCAGTACGTGTAAAACACTGTAAACCCCAAAGCATTAATTGGCACAAACTGTGCAAGCTGATGTTTTTCATCAAACAAAGAAGGTTGCATGCATGGTAGCATACCTCTTCCAGGCATTAAGCTAACAAATGCATACACACGAAGCCAAAGTTCACTACAAAAGAAATGCATTTGAGCTCTATACATAGATTCCTTATTGCCCGGACATGTACCAAGACATGAAATAATCTTTCTATAGAAGAGAATAATACCAATATGAATTAAAACAATGGTAGAGCACCATATACAACAACAAGGGGTGAAGCTATATTGTACTTAGGGGGGGGGTGCACCCCCTCAAAAAATATAAAAACGGTGACTTTAGCTAAAATTACACAGTATATATGCTGTAACTCTATGACACAAGTCTATACACACATAGGGTAATTAGGTAGACTTCCCTCTAATTTATTCTAGCTTCGCCACCAATAACAAGCATGATTAAAACATGTACTACACAGCCCCATTTATTTTATACACACATATTGATGGGTGTGTATGCATATATAGCAGACATTATTATGTATATTAACCCCTTACGAGAGAGCTAGTATTTATAATCATCGCTGAAGCATGCATCCATTCACAAAAAACCATATATATACTGTGGGAATAGTTAGCTAGCGAGATATGAAGTTCATCTTTACCAAAAGGCTTCATTTTGTACTTCAGCACCGGTGTCAGTATTGTCATCATATCAGACCACAACTATTTGAAGTGATAAAAATCGACACAAAATCTCACAGAGTGCATAGTGGAGCTGATCATCTTAGCGGCAGAGCTGGTTTTGCACAAGAGAGATCAAAGAGACATACAATATATAATAAACATACATCATCTATTTATCATGCTGCATCTAATTAAATCAAACATCACAATGAGGAAACAATGCAAGCAGCAAGCTCGATCGTATCTTGCGCTGACATTTGGCACAGCCACACAGCCACATGCATGCAGTTTGCAGTAGTAGTATATATAATGTAGCAGTAGTTTATATTACCTTCTTCTTCTCAGCAGAGTACTGTATTAGCAAGAATTGATCAATCGAAGAGCCTTTTATTAGCTCCGTCCTGGCAGCATGCTTAATTCGATCTTCAGTTCTAGCTACAAGTAACTATATGATGATGATGAGTCGCAGTCGTCGTCCTTGAGCTGTCGGCGATGAACGATCCTCCATTTCCACTTCAATTCCTCGGTCATGGCATGGATGGAATGATGGATCCCCTCCTAGTATGGCGGTGGCCGTGCATGAGCCCATGCAAGCCCCTCGTGCCCGAGCTGCAGGCCCGCACCGGAGGAGGCGGCGCCGCCCCCTGGCATGAGGCTTGGCGGCACGCCGCCGGCGCCACCACCGAACATTGGCATCGCCGAGGGATCGGCGGCCATCCCGCCCATTATCAGAGGCGGCCCTCCGCCCGGGCCGCCGGGAGGCAGCTGCGGCGGCGCGTGCCCGGGCTCCTCCTCGGCGTCGTCCAGCGGCAGCCTCTCGTAGGTGGCGTTGGCGAACGTGGACGCCATAACCATGACGGGCCCCGCCGCGGTGAGCGTGCCGGCCACGCTGCCGCCGACGACCTGCCCCTGCCCGCCCGCGAGGTACACGGTGAGCCCCGTGGATCCCGGCGGCGCGGGGCCCGGCAGGAACGTGCCCGTGAGCGAGAGGATCTCGAAGCGGCCGCGGAGCGCGACCACGGCGCCCGGGGCCGCGGGCTGGCGGAGTGCGACGTCGGTGACGGTGCCCGCGCCGCTGAGCACGCACACGCCGCGCTGCCTGCGGCGCGCGAAGTGGGCGATGGACTCGGCCACGTCGGCCCCGCCGGCCACCTCCATCACGTGGCTGCGCAGCGCGTTGGGGCTGTCACGTGTCACGAAGATGGGAGGCTTCGGCTTGTTCTTGGAACCCGGCGGCCGCCCGCGGGGCCGCCGGTTGCCCGTCACCACCGCGCCTTCCATGGGCTCGCCCGTGCCGTTCTCCCGGTCGTCGCCACTCCCGCCGCTCGTCGGCTGCTCGGTGGCACCGCCGTCCTTGGAGGAAGGTGCCATTTCTTCTTTGTTCTTGCCAAGGGATGGCTCCGGCAGGCCGAACCGCCCCTCGTCCCACCACCTGTTCGCCATCTTCAATTCTCTTCTACTCCTAGCTTGCTAGTAGGGTTTCGATAATCGAGCTGCTTCTTACTTTCTTAGAACAGCCGGACTCGACGGATCCTCGATCGACTTCTTCTAGATTCTTGAAGGAAATCTCTTGCTCGATCCCTGCTCTACGCCTTTGCATATGCAAAACAAAATATAAGAGAAACATATTAGCTAGTTAGCCGACCGCCATGTGTCAAGCAGATCCAAGCAGCATGTTTTGATCAAAAAAAGATGGGGGCATATGAGTCTGAACGAGAAGAGAATACTAGAGTTCGATTTGACCGAAGAATTGATGAATTAAGCAAGTAATCAAGAGCAAAGATCATCGAGAAACTTTTACCATGTGTTTTGCTGAATCCACCAAGAGCTGACCTCGAGAGAGGCAGATAAAGAAGCAAGAACGAAATCAAAGGAGACTTGACCCCTCCATCCCCTCCTCCTCGTCCCTCTTGTAGTTCTCTTTTGCTACTTTTCCTTTGCGGTTTGCGCCGTGTTTAGCTGTAGGAAGTTGGAATTTGGGACTATTGTAGTATGTTCGTTTTTATTTGGCAATTAGTGTTCAAACATAGACTAATTAGGCTCAAAACGTTCATCTCGCAATTTCCTACTAAACTGTGCAATTAGTTTTTTTTTGTCTACATTTAATGCTCCATGCACAAGCCGCAAACATTCGATGTGATAGGTACTGTAGCACTTTTTGAGATTTTGGGGTGTAACTGAACACGCGCTTGGTGTGTCTTCCCTCTGCTATATATGGGGGAGAAGACTTGTAGGGAGAGGCTGATGTCAGGGTGAATTATATATCTATTTTCACTTGCCCTATTCTAAGTTCGTAGACATATGTATGTGTACACAGGCGCATGGAGCACCATTTAAAAGAAAAGTAGCAGGACAAGAACATGAAAACGCTATGGCCACCCTTGCCAAGCTACACATAAGTTGATTGGTGAACCCATGAGAAAATATAACCTCATCATATATATGGTTTCATATGCATATGGACCACACAAATGTAGTTTTCCAAAGATGTATTCTTAATTAGTACTTCCACGTACGTAGATGATCACTTAGTGTGTATGTTACGCTAAGATATATAGCCAAAGAAGTCTTTTTAGCTGTCAACCATCTGCTGCCGGATACATACTGTTTAGGTTTAATTTAAACGCATGTGTCATAGTAACGTACCACCTAACCAAATGTGCAATATACTTTTATCTTATACCTTCGTCACCACGCACCTAAGAGATGAAATCCTTGAGTAGTGGCACACTTATCCAAAAGAAAAAAAACATTTCATTCACTTATTTGCATTGTAATATTTCTTCAAAGCACATGAATTTAAATTAACATGCATAAAATTGTCAGCAAAAAATAATAGCCTAGCTTTGAAGAAAATATTAATGCAGCATGGTGAAAATCTAAAACAAACCTAACTGTTCCTATTTAACTTTAATTTGGTGCATCATGCATCTTTTGGCAGCATATATAAAAGAATTGCAGCATATTCGATCGATCAATAGGTAGTGTGTAGTAGTCAAGCATGGATCCCCGCTTCAGATTATTATTATAAGATGCTTTGGTGTGTTGCTGGTGAGGCATACTTACTTTTACCTGGCAGTACGTGGGAGACCAAGGTTCCTTTGCTACCTAGCTAGCGTATGTGTCGCATGCATAGGGGCTAGCTGCTGGGTAGGTGAGGTGAGCAAGTAATAATTCCTTTATTTCTCACAAAATTCAGTAGGATGTATAGGGTATCTCAGTTTACACAGAACAAACAAAATCACATAACTTATTCTGCAGCCACTTTGAGTTACGATAATTACTATGTTAAATTACGAGATTATAGTAACTCCTTGCTAAGTTGTTTACTATAACGTTAGGGTAAATATCCTCATGTGTTATAGTAACCTAACTATCTTAAATATGTATTGACATTATCGTAAATGGAGGTGACTACAGAATAACTTATTTTATAGCTGGCTACCGAATATACTCTCCATATATATATATATATATACTCCTATAAGTAGTTACTCCCATAATCAATAAATCACGTTGCGTATGTGTACGTACTTATTTATCAGTTTGAGTATGTTGACATACTAATATTAAGATACTCCAGATCTTTAGTATGTGAATTTTTTTCAAAAGAGCATATATTTTTTAATATATTATATAATACTATGATAGTAGTATATAAAATAAGTATAACCATATACTCTAGTATATATACATACTTGTCATACATAGTATCTAGATGGTTTAGTATAATGATATACTCTATCTACATACACTTTTGCCGGGCCATATACGCTATAAATTTAGAGATATACACATGGGAGTAACTACTCCCTGGAAGTAGTAAATAATTTTCATATATATATATATATATGTGTGTGTACGCGCGCGCAGATGTACTATCATGCAATACAATATGCATGGACAGCCGATATTGCAATCAATGCATACTTTCAAATATCCAACCTCTGTCACTGGGTCCATCTTCTTGTTATAGTCACAATAACCCTCCTGTGAAACTTGAGGCACTTTATATGCATATGCAGGCAAAAAAGAAAACAAAGTACATGTTTATATCTGGATGTTGCATTTTTTTTAAATCCTCCACAGATAGATCTGTGTATCCTTCATTGAAAATCTTCAACAAATATGTAAATTAATAGAAAACATGATTAAATTTGAAAGTACATGGCGCTTGAACAATGGTGGGCATGGAAGCATGCATTTGTCTTCAAGATCGTACTACACTCAAGTTATTTAGGGCTTGTTTGATCTATTAGCTGCTATAGTTAGCTAGCTAATACTCCGTAGATCACAATAACTATTATTAGCTATTTTGGTTCAACTAGTGAAGTAATTGTCAGTTGAGTATTCAGCTAACTATTAGCCAGGCCTGTTTGATCTAAAGAACTAATTATTAGCAGCTAACTACTGCAGCCTTGAATCCAAACATAGACTTATATTAGCTTGCTTATTAACAGTAGAAATTGAGAGTTGATTTAGGTACGATTAGTAGAACACATTCAACTTGAGGACAGTGAAGACTTTCAGCATGTTCGGCTGGGGCTGGCTGGCCAACCCCCTCACATTGATACTATTTACATGAACCAGCCAGCAGTATCTCTCTATCACATAAACGAATCAGCAACGATACGAACCAGCCAACCGAACAGGCTGTTTATTAATCGTTGACTTGTCGATCATAAAGCATCCATGGAACATGAATAATGGCCTTTTCCTTGAGGCCCTTAATTTGTATTAGAAAAATACAGAGTTAGTGAATAAAACTAATACTCCATGAAAAAATTATCACTACGTGAAAAACAGTTTGTAACAACGTCGCTTTTTTTAGGGACGTCTGGCATTGGAGCAGCCCATACAGTGGCGTGCGGGCTCCAACACAGCAGCCGCCCTTACAAATTGCACAGTACGAGACGGCTGATAATACGAGGCGCCCCTACAAATACGTCGATTTGTAGGGGCGGCTGGTATGTAGAGGTGGCTATTACCAGCCGCTCCTGTTGTGTCCATTTGTAGGGGTGGCTGAATCACCAGCCGCCCCTATAAATGTCCGTTGTATATATAACAGCCACCTTCTTTCAGCTCTGGCCACTCTCTCCAACCCGAGCAAAAAAGGTTGGCAGGCCTTGGGCTTCTCCCAAAAATTACTCTACTAAGGGGGAGGTTTTGATCTCGAAAACTTTGGTGGAGAGGTTGTACAAGGTAAGAAAATACTATTCCAAGCCTTTATTTGAAGTTTTAATGGTTGGTTAATGATCGTAATTAGAGTTTTGCTTTTCTCTCTTTCTATGGTGCTTGAGCTTTGTACGAAGCAAATTAGACTCTAGTTTGAATGTATTAGTGTAAATTAGTTAGATAAATGAGATTACACCATTTATTAGTCGATCTTGCTTGATTTTAGTTGAGATTACACCCTAGTTTCATATATGTTTCATGTACATGTAGATTTAGATCTAGATCTAGGTTTTTTTTTAATTTTAATTTTGTAAATTTATGTTTCATAAAATTGGAATAGGGTTTGCATGAAAGGTAGTGGATAAAATATTAATTGTTGCAAATTGTTGTCTTTGAAATTATTTATTTTAATTAATAAATATATATTTTTAATTATTTATTGATAAATATGCCATTAATTCATTACCCTCTACCATGGTGTGTGTTTGATATGCTTTATGTAATTTTATTTTATATTTATATTTATATATATCTAAAGTATATAGAATTATTGTTAAGTAATTAATTATTAATTTGATTTCTTTACATACATATCTGAATTAGTAGTCCTTTAATGTATTTTTTTATTGTTGTGTTTTAAAAGATGGAGTACAAGAAGTCTTGGATGTATGGTTCGTTAAGGTTCAAGGCAGGTTTTCGTGAAGAGGTGGACAAATTTATTGAAGCAGCAGAGAAGCATGCAACGACGTTGACAGAGAATAAGGATATAATTATTTGTCCCTGCAAAGATTGAAAGAACCTTATGGCATGAACAGATATTAGTATCATCAGAGAATATTTGATTGTGCGAGGATTTGTTGAGGACTACACAATGTGGATTCATTATGGTGAAACAACGGTTGTTGATAATGACGACGATGATGAAGAAGATGACGCCGAAACCCTACAATACCTGTCCCAATACTCAGAAGAGCTTGATGTATAAATGGATACTGAGTTTGGCAATGAACAAGGTGGTGATGCTGGTGGTTGGGATGGTAACGACAAAGGTGGTGCCAATAATGATGGGGGAGCACATGTTGGTGATGAAGATGATTTTGATGATTTAGAGGAAATGATTCGGTTCCCTGGACCAGAGATTTTACTAAAGAGCCTGAAAGGTTTAGAAAATTTGGAAAGGGTCACAAAAGCATCGAAGGAGACTATGTATGGTGTTGAAAAGGGTTGTCCGACATATCGGACATTGCTACATTTTGTGCTTGAGCTAC